CGATTGGCTTTTGTCAACCTGCGTCACTTATGGCGTAGGCGTGATATCCGTTCGCTAACCAAAGGGCGGGTGTACTGCGCAGCAGTTCGTTCCGTTCTCTTATATGGCTGTGAAACATGGCCGTTAAGAGTAGAAGATGTTCGTAGGTTACTAGTATTCGATCATAGATGTTTAAGAAGCATTGCTCGTATATCGTGGGACAGCCGAGTAAGCAATGCTGTCGTTAGGAAACGAGTACTAGGTAAGGATGGCAGATCAATAGATGAAGTATAGAAACGTCATCAGTTGAGGTGGTTGGGACACGTGTTACGTATGCCTAACCACCGACTGCCTCGACGAGCTTTGTTTCGTAGTGTAGGAGTAGGTTGGAAGAAAGTTAGGGGCGGCCAGACCAAAACATGGCACAAATCCATGAAGTCACTGACAAGTGGACTGAGTCATGTTGGTAGATGTAGACTACCTGGTTGGGGTCTGCGAGACGAAAGTCATCAATGGTTAGAGACCTTGAACGACATGGCTCAAAATCGTTTGCAATGGCGTAGGTGCATCCACTCTTTGAGCTCTCTCAAATCCTAATCTTCTGGATTCGTCAGCACATCTACCTTTGTCTTTCTAACCTTATCTCACTGAATTATATTTTTTGAACAATATCTTCAAACCCTAGTCTTCTTTATTAACATTAATACCTCTACTATCTTTATCACTATGGGATTTGATTTGACATTTGCGTTTCTGTGCTAATAATGTGGTATGGCAACATGAACTTATGTACATACGTACGAAGTTCTACGATGCAACTGACTGACTGACTTTATCACACTGCACCGCTAATGCAAACGTTGCGAGTTCACGAAACGCCATTTCTGGTCTCCTGAAACCCCGCATCAGACTACATGTTGGGGCTTTTAATGTACGGACATTGTGTCAAATAGGGCAACAGGCTTCCTTAGCTAGAACATTAGAATCTCACTCAATCGATGTGTGCTGCGTTTCGGAAACGCGCATACAGGATCCTAGTAAAATTATTAATCTGATTTCGCCTTGTCAAAACAAAGAATCAGCCCGATTTACTCTTCGTGTATCCGGTAGTCCTGATGCTGCTTCCCGGGGTCTTGCTGGTGTAGGCATAGCATTGAGTCGTACGGTAGAACTAGCGCTCCTAGACTGGATCCCTGTAGATAGTCGCTTGTGCGCTGCCCGACTAAACGGGACAGTAAGGATTCGGAAAGAGAGGGACACTCGCCGTTGCCTCTTCGTCATATCAGCCTACGCCCCCACTGACTGCAGCCCAGATGATGTAAAAGATGAGTTTTACAGAAAGCTTTCGGACCTCCTCCAAAAAGTTAGGCGCTCTGATATAGTTATAATGGCTGGTGACTTCAATGCACAAGTAGGTAGACTAAGTGAAAATGAAAGACACCTAGGTGGATGTTACGGTCTCGCGGCTCAAAGAACAGACGATGGCGACCGTCTGTTGCAACTATACTCAGATAACCAACTATTTCTAGCAAACACTAATTTTAAGCATAAGGAAAAACACCTTTTGACCTGGCGACCCCCGAAGTCGTCTCAACGTTGGACAAACCACTAGATCATATCGCCATCAGCCACCGATGGAGCGGTTCGATAGAGGACTGTCGCTCGTTCTGGGGCACATGTTTAGATTCAGATCATGCCCTAGTGCGAGCACGTATTTGTTTGAAGCTTACTGGACGTAGGGAAGACACCGCAAGGAAGCCTCTTAGGGTTTTACTTAATGATAATAAGGCTACGAATATATTTCAGTAACAACTAGAAAAAGAGTTAGGCAACCACGTGTAGGCGATTCCCATCCGGAAGCAGGTTGGAATGTGTTAGCGGGACATAGATGGAATTAAAGCATGACTACGTTGCTACGCGCTGATTGGCTAATTTCCTATCTAATCAGCGCCTGGTCGATTCTTGGAGAACAGGGTAGAAAATCCTCGTACTGTTAGCTGCGTGCTGATTGGTTAAACCTAATCCATTCGATCACGTGAATTTCTATCCAGAAGTCTCTCATGTAAATGCTGTAAAATAGACTAACGTTGTATCTATTTTTGCCTTCGCCATCACCTTTGGCTTCTTAATTCCATTTAACCTTGGTATTTGGAATATAATCTTTTCCTGTTCAACCGTGTTTTTGATTCTTGGGAACTTGTCCAGTGTATTGTGGTCAGAGAATACTAAGCAACAGGATTTAGCTGGGAATTATTCAAGCAAGCGTTACAACAGAATGATATCAAAAAAGCTGTGGAAACAGCAGTGATATCTTCTAGTAAGGTAAACCATAAGCCTAGGATGAAGCCGTGCATCTCTGTAGCATCCACCGAACTGATGGATGCTCGAAAACTCATCCCTCCTGGCTCTGAACATGATGAAAAACGAAGTCAGCTTAAGCGCAGGCTGATAAAAAGCCTACGAAACGACCGTGAACAGTGCTGGATGGCGAAATCAAAAGCGATGGAAAAGGCAGCGGCGATCGGCAACACTAGACAACTTTTCCGACTTATCAAGGAAACTGGTATTAGGAATCCTACTGTAAGTGCGACTATCTCGGAAAAGGATGGGACTATTATTTATTCTCAATCCAGGAGACTGGACCGATGGGCAGAACACTTTAGGGATCAGTTCAAATGGCCTTCTGCCACACTTCGGTTACCCACGATCTCCAGTCATCCTGAATGGCAAGTCGACGTAAGCCCTCCGAACCTTTATGAAGTTGAAAAGGCTATAAGAAATCTGAAGCGAGGGAGAGCAGCAGGACCCGAATGAATGACTCCTGAGACATTTAAGGATGGTGGTCCAGTTTTAGCAACTAGATTGACTGAAATCTTAGGTAGAATCTGGGAACTGGACGTAATCCCATCCGACTGGTCTCAATCCCTGATTGTCCCAATTTATAAGAAAGGACAAAAGTCTTCTTGTGACAATCACAGGGGAATAAGTCTAACTAATATAGTTTCTAAATTTTTAGTCCCGATTATACTTAGAGGCCTTACTAGTGCTCGTGATGAGCAGACTCGAGAAAACCAGGCTGGTTTCCGACCTGGACGTGGATGTATAGACCACATCTTCACACTACGACAGGTCCCGGAACACAGGCATACATTTAGGCGTCCTACAATAGTTGTCTTCCTGGACCTTAAGGTGGCACTCGACTCTGTGGATCGTGAGGTTCTATGGCAGTATCTGTCATTGAAAGGTGTACCGAAGAAGTACATTAACCTTATACAAGCTGTCTACACTAAAACTACTGGTCGGGTGAGAGCTTATGGCGAACTGTCGCCGGAATTCTTTACTTCAAGTGGTGTCCGTCAGGGCTGTCGACTCTCTCCATTTTTGTTTAATGTTGTCATAGACATGCTTCTAGATGTAACATTATCTTCGTTCGACTTTTGAGGAGTCGACTTTCTACCAGGAAAATCGCTTAATGACCTAGAATATGCCGATGACATAGTTCTATTTGGCGAAGACTCTGACAAAATGCAGAATCTTCTGACTACCCTGAGCAACAATGCGAACATGTTCGGGATGCGGTTCTCCCCGTCGAAATGCAAAATGCTGCTTCACGATTGGGTTGCATTGGCACCTGAACTAGTCGAACGTGTAGACCGCTTCACTTATCTGGGGAATCTCATCAGCCCTGACGGCCTGGTGACTGACGAAATCTCAGCACGGATACAGAAGGCTCGATTGGCTTTTGCCAACTTGCGTCACCTATGGCGCAGGCGAGATATCCGTTTGCTAACCAAAGGACGAGTGTCCCGTGCAGCGGTTCGCTCCGCCCTACTATAAGGATGCGAAACATGACCGTTAAGAGTAGATGTTCGCAGGTTTTTAGTCTTCGATCATCGGTGTTCCTCGAACCATTACTCGAGTATCGTGGGACAACCGAGTAAGCAATGCAGTTGTTAGGAAACGGGTGTTAGGTAAGGATGGCAGGTCAATAGATGAAGTATAGAAACGTCATCAGTTGAGGTGGTCGGGACATGTTACCAATGCCCAACCACCGACTGCCGCGACGAGCTATGTTTTGTGGTGTAGGAGTAGGTTGGAAGAAATCTAGGGGCGGCCAGACCAAAACATGGCACAAATCCATGAAGTCACTGACAAGTGGACTGAGTCATGTTGGTAGATGTAGACTACCTGGTTGGGGTCTGCGAGACGAAAGTCATCAATGGTTAGAGACCTTGAAAGACATGGCTCAAAATCGTTTGCAATGGCGCAGGTACATCCATTCTTTGTGTTCTATGAAATTCTATGCTTTTGAATTCCTCATAATCTCTCTTTCTCCTTCTAAAGTAAACTCACTGAATTATACTTTTCGAATATCTTCGCTCCCTAATCTTCTCCATTGCTGCTAATAATTCTACTATCGCTATCACTCTTGGATGTGATATGACAACCTGAACTGATGTACTTACGTACGAAGTTCCGCGTTGTATTTGTCTGTCTGAGGGAATGGCGTCAAAAACAAACATCGTTGTTTAATGCAGTAAGACAACTGTGTTGTCAACATTTCCACCATATTTGCTGAAAGCCAAAACAATCATTTACGTCAACTAACAGATCACTAAGACTGATACAATTCCTGGATTTTATTAGATAACATACACACTCAACTTTTTTACTCATTATCAAACTAAGTACTAGTGCAGACGTGCCCTAAAACGTCTATGTGAAAAATGCATCTCAAACATTTTTACAATGTCTTATTGGTTAGAATTCATTTTATCTAAATTCCATCAATTAGAATTAGTAAACGCTTTTCATGTATACACATCAAAAAGTAGTTAGGTTTACGTGATTAGTGAGGTGAATTATTTAAAGGATCTGAAAAAATGAGATAAGAACAGGAAATGTTAAAAGTAAACAAAAAACACTTGGTTTTCAAAATTCATAGTAAAAGGATAGATTTTCTATATAAATAAATAATGAACTAGAGTAAAGCATATTTAAATGACTTGCGAATAACTGACCTTTGTTTACGCGTTAAGGCTACTGGTTGTATTCCACTAGCAGCATTTTGATTTATATCATTAAGCTTGACAGGAGAATTTGGGATGCGTAAGGTAGTTGAATCACAGCTAGCAGAAGAATGATGAGTTGCTGATTGTTGCTCTTTTCGAGAATGCTTCCAACACAACCCCTAAAGTAAGTTGAGAATGTGAAATTGAGTTTTATGGAAACTCAGCACCTATCGAAACATTTAAGAAGTTACAAAATATAACACCATCTAGGTTTAAATATGATGTAGATATGTTAATAAGGATAGCTTTGTTTGGCTGTAAATTGGCTAAGATGTTGGTCTTCTGCACTCTTAGAGAGAAAATTTGATGTCGGATATAAGCTTAGAACTGGCTATATGCTACTTGGTAACTAAGTAGGGTGTGCCTATTATACAAACACATCATCCAGATCTAAACAGACAGAGAAGGATTTAACCCGCAATTACTATCAAAGTTAGCATCGAAATTTAATTTGATGTTATGATTCGTAGAGAGTATAGTAGGCATAAAATATATTGAATATTTGAATGCACATGGCAGATTATAACGCAGATGAATCAGCCTTTTTGTTCCATGTACGGCAACAAGTGTAAATAAAGACAGTCAGTTTAACAGCCGCCTCCACAGCGGTATGTCATATCATTTTACAATGGAAAAGGTAGGTGCTGCAGTTAAGTGCTAGAACAGGCTCATTCACTATCGCTTGAAGTGAGATGCAGCTAAAACATTAAATCTCTTCGGAAAATCACATGTTAAAATTTACCTTAGCACAGGGTCTGTGCGAGGGCGAGGACGTTGGAAATCAGTTACAATTAATAAACCTGGTAACAGTCTACTTCCCTGATCAGAACACTGAAAATGATGTAAAAACGTACTATTTAAAAACAATGAAGTAACTGAAGTATCGTCATATTACCGTTACTTAAAATATACACTTACTACTAAGCGCACGTCTTTGTCGATAAGCTCTTGGCGCATAACGAGGTTGCTTTGGAATGCGCATGTGACATGGAATGCTGTTTTACACTTGACACTCGAGCACTGCACGGGCGCACCATAGCGTGAACGACATATTGAACATATAAGATTTCGTCTAGCTTGTGGTATACTGTCTAGTTTTATGATAGGTTCCATCAATTCGACGTCACCAAATCCAACTTCGGGAACCCACAGTGCACAGCTAACATGACACCACCGCTTTCCGTCACTAAAAAGATAATTTTACTACACGCAACATACTCTGATAGTTTCATAGCTCCTCCAGTATTCGGACATAAGCTGCAAGGGGTAGTCGACTTGACACCTGCCTCACATTGACGACACATCCACGACCCTTCAGGAATTTGAAGAATGCCATAACACGCCTGATGAACACACAAGAAGCAACCGTCACAAAAGACCAGTTCGTTTCCATCCTCACCTTCAAACTAAACAAAATAAAAGCACAAAACAAACTACAAACCGATAAGCATATGTCACATCTAGCATTTTCATCAAATTCCAATGACTGCACATCTATCTCTTTAATTTTCTCACGCATTTTAACATAAGTAAGATACTCCAGAGTACTGATAACTTTCTCAACCATCCAGTCTTCAACAAGTACTTGTCCTAAGCATTCCCTTTCTTCATTTACTGTTGAAATCCAGGAGTAATCTAAATCATCGACATGGTAATATGGAGCGGTCTTTATTTTCTTATCAACCAATATATGCGTCCTTTCGTCAAAGTTATCACCGGGGGACTCAACTCGAAGTTTTTCAGGCCTTTTGAGATATAAACAAAACGCAACTTACATCACAAATCGAGGACAACGTCTCTTTGGGCATGAAACATCAAGTTTCCTAAAGTATTAGTTTCATCAAAAAACTCACTTATAGACAGGTCGCGGTTGATGACTAGCATCTTTCACAGGCACCTGAACTCCTTCTCGATACCATTCGGATTTCCAAGAATTTAGAATAAGTACAAGATTATCTTTTCTTCCACATTCACTGTCAGCACTGATCATCATCGCAGAAAGAGGATGTCTATCAAACAACTAAACCAATGTAAATAAAAAAAATTTATTACCTCCGCGGGGGCATTCTCGTCACAATCAGGGTAGGATGGCCTCCACTGACTTAGAATCCGTCTAACCTCTTCACAACTTCCCATATCAAGAATATATTGCTACCGCAAGTCTTCAAGGCGCGCGCGCGCGCGAAACCATTTTCCAAAAGACATACAAACCAAAAAATACTTAACAGCTAACAGCCGAGTCAGTATAATTGTAAAGGGTCCTCGAAATTTCATGAAACTTACCTAAATTATATCCAATAAATGTAACTTAAAAAATTAAGAAACATGTTTGGTTCAAGGTCACATCGTTCCTTAATTCTAATAACCATAAGATATCTGATTGAATGGGTTTATCCTGTAGCATGAACTGACCTTAAAGTTTTTGTTCCGCGAGCTGGAAGGCGATCTAATTATTCCAAGGAGTTCATAAAACTTGTCTCCTGAAGACGTAATAAGACGGTTAAGAAGAGCATTATCTGTAGTTTATACATTCGTGAAGTCGATGGCTAAGTCTCATGCGTACATATTGATCATTTTCAAGCGAAAATCTAGAATACGAAGGCATTCTTCCAGTAAATTAAAAAATGAACAGCTGAAATTATTTGTTTGTAGTGTTGGAATTCCACGTCCCAAACTTAAATTTCCTTTTATCTGATGACTTAGGTCCTTAGAAAAAAAGGCATATAATTCATTTATTACTGTATTGTTTAGATTTCTTCGGTCAATTAAATGGCTCAGAAATGATTCGCTCTTACACAAACTAGTCTCTTTGTAAGAGGATGACCGTCGAATATCATGTTCATTTAAGGAGGTCTAAAACAGTCATTAGGAATAAATAATTACCAAACAGTTTATCAATCGCGCACAAAAACATAAAAGTTACTCCAGGTCTAAAATGTTGTCATTGTTGCATAAAAGACGAGGAAACAATATCTCCTGACAATCAAATAACAATAACTTCCCCCGCTATAAAGAATGATAAGCAGATGGATAGCGAAGTTATGAACATGCACATGATAAATCACTCCGTAGATCTTGATGAGTTCATAGGCTCTTGATTTTTAATAAAAATAAGAATCATAATTATCACTGAGAAATATGGCGACACTTTATTTCGAATCCAAGATGTTCGAACAGTAAATTATTTGAATATTGATCACACGACCAGTTAAACCTAATCAGTGAAAGAATCTTCCCCTTAAGTACAATGAATGAGACTAACCGGAAAAAATTGAATTTCCTCAAGGAACACGTCTAGTACACCAAAATACACTGCAGCCATAAAAAGGATGGCTGTACGAACTAAACCTTCAGTTTTTCATTTTAAGTTATGGAGATTGTTCACTTACATTAAAATCGTCGATCGGTTATGGTTAGACCACCATTCAAAACCTAGATGCATTGCTGCAAGTCATCAAGAGTTGTTGAGGTAGGTATATGGTGATCTACTTGGTGGCATCCTCTAGACAAAACTTTAGTAGGCTTCTGTGAAATGCTGCTGTAGGTCTCCGAGAATATCGGGGCTATTACGTATGGTGTTGGACGAAGTCGTGTTCCACACCTGCCTCTATCAGTGTGTTACAACGGTTCTAAATAAAGAGAAGGAAAAACACAGGCTAGAAGCATGACCTAACGTATGCATTTGTAAGTAAAACGTTGAAGTATTGATACATAAACCTTCCACTTTTTTTATTAGATCACTTATCGCACAATTTAATTTATGTAGGTTAATGAAGACAAGTTATCAGTAAGACAATAAGTGAGCAAATATTTATATGAAGAAAATGAATTCAATGGAGTCGAATTGTTGAAAACTATGTGGATTTTCAGATTGTAGTAGTATTAAATCTCAATGATTTGATGCAGAAGTGATATTTCAATCATTATTTTTTGATTACTTTTACTTGTAAAGTCAAGAATGAACTTCTTTTCAACATAATTGCCCAGGTCAGCTTGCTATAGGATTTCTTGGTAGTAAGTGAAACCAGTTCAAGGTTAGGGACGAGGGTCAGAAACATAGTTGACATGGAAACTTGACATCAATATCATTGATTGGTTACATCCCGCCATATTCTTTAGTAACAACTTGTTACGAGAGGCATGCCACTTTACAGGCAATGTACAATGCGAATAATTAGCGCCAGTTACAACGGTTGAGGTGGTGGAGAAAATTTTTAGCTCAGGTGGATGATTGTGGTGGTGTCTATCTGAAGTTTGCGCTGATGATGTTGTTCAGAAGAACAATGAAAACTCCATAACCAAAACAACCAGTTTATAGAACGAAACACCACAGCGGTTACAAAGGTTGCGTTACGATAAAGTGCTAATGACTGAGAAACAATGCAAGGTCGAGCCACGTCTGTATATAAGAAGAATTGATGAGGTAAATGTGTTAAGATCTGGTTGATATTCTGCCGATAATAAATTTACTGACCCCTGAGTAAAGTAGCCAAGTCTTCGGCAAATATCCAGACTAATATTTAAGGATTGGAATGTGCTGAAAAAGAGAAATAAAGAGAAAGGGGCGAGGCGCAGAACGGAAAATATTCTTGTTTGAAGCCGAACAGTAAGTCAGCAGATAATTTTTTAATTAGTACACTAACTGAAAACCTGCACTTATTTAGGCTGATGAAGACAATTCGTTAGTAATATAGCGAATGGGCAATTAATCGTATGAATAAAGGAATTTCGGAAGCACTGAATTGTTAGTAATAATTTTGATTTACAGAATATAATAATGAAGCATAGTGATCTGATGCTTTTGTGATATTTTATTTATCCTTTTTCTTTTTAACGCTGTAGCTCAAGAAGTTACGAGTGAGCTCTTTTTCAGCATAATTTTCTAGATCTGCTTGTAATAGGATTTTTAGTAGGAAGTGGAACCAATGCAAGGTTAAGAACATGAGTAGTAGACGAGGTTAACAAAGAAAAGCAACATCAATATCACTGTTTATTTACATCCTGCTGTATCGTAAGGAGCGGCAAGGAAACAAAATGTTCTATCCCACAGACATGGGTAGATTGAGTTTATCGCCCTACCGTCATGAATGCTGGTCAGATACGCCACCCTCCCTCCTTTCGTTATGTTAGATTCTCATGCGGCTGCGGTTTGCATATGTATTACTTTAGTTTAAGCACCATTTTTCCAACCTTGTTGAAGTACACTCTCTCTACTAGCCCCAGGTCACAAGCGAACCGGAATGATCAAGCTAAAATATATTGGGTAGTACATCTGTCTAGTACACCACAGTGATATTAGGTCAACCAATGGCATAGATTGTGAGATGCAGTCCTGTTTGAGGTAGGAAGAGCAAATTGCAATTATTAGTGTTAACGTGCTGTTTCTGTTTGTAAGCAGAATCGTGGCTCATAATCAGACAGGATGTTTCAAATGAGAAGTCATACATTAGATTTTTAAAAACGTATCAAGTTGTCTTTAAACCAATGACGCCATAAAGGTTACAGAGAAAGATGTTTGCATCTTTCTATGTGGTCCAGAGTACGACTTAATCCTAGCAGTAGCCATATGAAGCTTCTTTCGACATTTTCTACCTGTACCTTGTCTATGACATTCAGGTTTGAAAAGATAAATGCACGGTTTTCAAGGAAGAGCCTTATACACATTTCGAAAAGTGTAAGCATTTTCGCATCTAGCAATAATATGTTAATAATGGAATTCATTATCTGCAATTAAAAGCCTGTGTATTGAGAATAAGGTATGGGGTGGAGAATCCACTTCCACATCAGCTAACAATTCTAGGGTTTGGTGGCTGCGCAGTGTACCTAGGTCTAGGATAATTAATTATTGTGTGCGTAACTAGAAGTTGTTCGGAGTTGTTCTTATTATTATCAGTCTTAAAACTTAAAGAGGTTGGGGGCACATCACATGACATTATAGGGATGAACCTTTTCATCGTAGCCGGGAAGTTTGAGGATAAACTGGGTTTAATCCTACCAATTTTTTATTTGAAACCCAAGATTTAGTCTGCTTACTCTTCCTAGTTAAACTTGGAGAGTGTTTTGGTGCCATAGACGTGTTTTTTGAGATAAATTCGAGTTCTTTCGGGCCCTCTCTTGTAATTTATTTTGGGAGCCTAGTCTTCGATTGATTATTTTTAACTGGACTTGTGTTGTTTCATGGTACGCGTTCGAGCAGTTTAACGTTCGAACAGAATGGATTCGAAATGCAGGAATCGTACTTTACTTAAAAATTTGGAGTTCGTAGATTCATCAAGATCTACAGAGTGGTTGATGTGTTTATTTATACTTATGACCCTGGGAGTAGTCATTAGAAGAATGTCTGCTGTGAAACAGTCATGCGATTTTGTCGCCTCTCGTCTTTTTATACGACGTTGATAAGGCATTAGATCTGGAGCAACTTTTTTGTTACGTACAGGGTTAACGAGCTAATATTTTTCCTGAAATAGATAAATTGTTTGGCGTCTTTACAGCAGCCAAATTTGAACAAAAGGAGGCAAGTTGATTGATCAGATTTTCTTCTGAGGCGTATGGCTTGACAACTGACGTTTGTCATACCGCAAGCTTGAAGATAGGATGTGCGGCCAGGGAGATTATGTACAATCACATTGTAGGAAGGCAGTCGTCTTTTCGTAACTTCGTCAGCTACAAACTCTAGGATGTGTTCAGCTTTAGTTAGTTCCCAAGGTTTCTACCATTATTTGAGGACCATATGTGCGTGACAGGTACTAAGAGGTTAAGCTTATCGTTAAATTGGGCAAGTGAGTTTGGTAACTGTCGTATCCTGCAACCATGATGATTACTATTATGATCGGTGTAGGATAGATCATTCGACGCCTTGGTTTGTGAACTCTTAGATTTTGGCTTTTCAAGATTGTACTAATGTTAATTCCGTGTTGACATTTCAGTATACGTTGGTATAGTACCTCTTATATCTACGAGTTCACTGTTGGTATACCAAGTGAAGAGTTTTTATATAGATTGCTGGCTAAGGGTGTTGAAATGTTTGGGTAAGAGGTGTGACTATTCCAATAGCAGATTCGTCAGGCATAAGGTTTACAGATTTCGATTTTTCGATGGTTTGGAAGTAAGTGATATTTCTCTTTTACTGGAATTGT